ACATGTGACCCAGTGGGCCAGGCATGTTTTGATGGAAATGGAAGAGTCAGTGCTCAAAGGATTCTGGGGGCGGCTGGAAGACAGGCTCCATGGGTGTGGGGCAGCGGGAGAGATGACAGATGAGGAGGCTGAGATCAGAGAGGGGAACATAAATGTGTGGATGAGATGACATGCTAAATGTGATTAGTGACATGCTAATGAGATGACATGCTAATGTGTGGATTAGCCATGACATGCTAAACTCCAAGGTGAGCCCAGGAAGGTATGCAGTTGAAGTGGTTGCATGGTATCCTGGCCAAGAAAAATCATGTTTTGTGTTTTAGCCAGGAATGGTATGTAGCAATCAGGTTTATGACTTAAGGGTGTGTGTTTGTTGTTCATACACATTTACATGTGTAATAATAGTCTTTACTTCTGTTGGGTGCATTGTGGTACACATTTGTAATCACAACACTCTGGGAGGCTGAGGCAGGAGCATCAAGCCCAGCCAGGGTAACTTGGTGACTTGGAGAAACTCTGTCTCAAAATAAAATAAAGGGCTGGGGATGTAGTTCAATGTGAATGCCCTGGGTTCGGTTCTCAGAAAACAACAATGACCTTTTCTAAAAACAATTATTAAAATAACAATTCTTTCATTTGTATAAGTGTTCTGAGAATTCCTATCCAATAATTCTTTACATAACTATTTAAGACAGTGGACCAGAAACAATGATCTGGAAGTTTTTGCTGGCAGAGCCACCACTGTATTTGATTCTTCATTCTATATATTATGACTTTTTCCTGGATAGGGTGACATATGGCTCTTTAATTCATTATGTGCATCTCTTACCCCAAATTTATTTGGTAAATTTACCAGAGGGTGAGGATCATCTTATGTTTCCCATGCCCCTGTAGCAATGCACACAGTATTGCTTACATAATCAATGCTTTCTGAATAAGAAGACCATGATTATTTTTGCTTTTGACAACTTATCTCCCAAATGTAGGAGAGACAGGTATAGCAATGACTCTTAACTGACCCAGAGAATCTTGGAAGAGAGGCCTTCTTCCAAGTATGGCCTGGACCCAAGTACCCTTAGCATCCTTTAGTACATAACACTACCGTTGGACTTCTGCTATCTTTTCTTCTGCCTTCAAAAATGTTCAAGTCTTCTCACTTTCAAATCCTTGTTTGCCTTTCTTTTTTTCCTGACTGTATCCAACATTCCTCTTTTACTTGGATATCAAGTTCTGGAGCAGTTATCTATGTTGTGTCTGTGATGCTTCCCTCCCTCTCCACTGGGCTTCTTCCTTCAGGGCATTCCACTAACAAGATCTCTGACAAGAAGAGAGAAGCCTCATTATCTCCAGCTCTTTTAAGAATGCTTGCATTTTAACAGGTGATTTTTAAAAATAGAATTACATTCAAAAATTGAAAGAATAAAACTACAAAGTAAGGGACAGGTTGGAGGTCTCCATTAGGACCCCCTCAAATCATCCAGGTGACCAGCACTTACCCTTGCCTAGCCCTGCATAGGGACCTAACCAATTCTATAGTCTTGGAGGAGTTGACTCACTTTGCTTACTTAGCAGGTGCTTATACTAATACCTGCCTCTTGGGGTTGTGTACAGGGGAATAAAACTGATATAACTGGGGCCAGGGATTTAGCTCAGTGGTGCCGCTGCCTGTCTCGAAAGCCTGAGGTCCTGAGTTCGATCCCTGGTACCAAACAAAACAAAACAAACAGAACAAAAAACAAACTGATATAATTGATGAGAAAGTGCTTCCTAAACCATAGAGCTTACTGACTACTGGTCTACCTTCCACCACTTAACTGAGAAATGTCCCTCAAGGCTGTCTCCTGCAGGAGGCCAGATCAGTAATAACTGGGAGTTTAGCACCTGAGAGCTGAACCACCATACTGTATTCACCTGAAAGTAAGGAGGGCTCACTAGCAATCCTTAATGTCCTTTCTGGCCCCAAACCAAGATTACTGCAAAGTACTCAATTGGGTATTGTTTTTCTATTATGTTCTAGATATCCTGACTTCCCTGTCTAAACTGTAAACTCCTTGAAGGCGAGGACATTCTCTTGCAGCTCCTATGACTCCTATAAACTTAGCTCAATGCTAGACACCTAGGAGATATTCAAGAAATGTGCCTACCCTGAAGTGGTTCACTGATGTACATATCTCATAGCAATTTAACTATGAGGACAGGGTTCACCACCCTCTTTCCTCTCTGGATTTCCTGTACCCCACAAATCCCCTCCCTGTGCTAACATTGTGGGAAAGGGCAGGGGGTCAAAAATCTTGAGGCAGGCTAATTTCTTAGCCAGGTGATTCTTAACCACTTCACATCTTGGTTTCATCATCTGAAAATTGGATGTAATCCTCTTCCTGCCTGCCTCAGGGTTATGAAGATCAAACGAGAGGAGGCTGAATAGGCGTCAAGGCTCCTAACAGCAGAAAGTGTCTTCCTGGTGTGAGGTAACATTGTCCATACCATTTCCTATTTTACCTCTCTGACAAAGTCAGAGGCCGAGGAAAGCAGAAAGAAACATTTTCTAATTAAGTTTAGAATATAAGGTGTGGCTCACAGACTGTTATTAACCATGACTTTCCAGCAACTTCTTTAAAAAATATTGTTCTATCAGGGTTTTGTGGTGCACGTCTGTAGACCCTCTTGACAGAGGAAGACTGCCCAGTCTGAATGAGTTAGTGAGACCTTGTTTCAAAACAACAACAACAACAACAACAACAACAACAACAACAACAACAACAGGGTTGGGGATGTGGCTCAGCATGAAAGCCCTGGGTTCAAACACCAGTACAGGAAACAAAATTATTCTAGCCAAGTATGTGGTACAGGACTGTAGAGCCAGTTTCTTGGGAGGCTGAGGTGAGAGCATTGCTTGAGTCTAGGAGTTTGGAACTAGCCTGGGCTCTAACAAACAAACAAACAACAAACTTTTAGCTAACTAGGCAACAGGCTTTCAAAAATTATTAAAAATGTCTGTATCTTCTACATTTTAAATCACTATTGTTCCCTATTCCCCTACAGTACCTCTGGTTCCTGGAGAATCTCAAGGATTTTTTCAGAGTTAGGGATGATTTCAGGCAATGTTTTAAAGTATATAATTATGATACCTCACTTACGCATAGATCTTTTTCATTTTGGAGTCATTATGCACATTATTTCAGGTAGCCTTTACAGCTCTGAAATTAGTGGGCCATGATGTGTTATCTTCTTACAAATAAAACTGGAACTTTTATTTTGGCACCCTGTTTGAAAAGCCCCCTCTTGCATAGGTCTCACAGGATACCATGTAGCTCTGTCCTGCAGGCAAGTGAGGTCAGGGTTAGTGGCAGCTGTAGCAGCATCTAGGGGCTTGGTGGAAATACAGACTCTCAAGCCCCTCAAACCTCCTGCACTTGATCAAGAACCACAGGTGACTTAATGCACCACGAAGTGTGAGAATTCTCATCTGATATGGGGATTCATGGGAAGGTATGAATGACTTAATATTATCTTTTCCAAGAATAGAAGGCTCCAAGGTATGCATTAAAATAAACAAAACTTCTCTCCCTAATAGAAGGAGTCTAAAGAAGATGACATGAAGGTTGAAGGGAGACTATTACTAGATAGGAGGAAGGGAATGAAGTCAAGGAGGCCTAAGGATAGGAACCAATAAACTATATTAAAAAACAAAAACAAAAAACTAAGGCTCAGGCTTTAAGTTTTCAAGATTTGACAGAAAGGCTTGGGGAGAAAGCCACTTTGAACACTCAGAGCATCTCGGTTTTTATTTTGTGTAAGCATTCCATAATTTCCAGAGAAATACCAGACAACCCAAATAGGACCTTCTACAAAATAGGTCTTCAAAACTGTCAAGGTCGTGAAAGACAAGGAAAACCAAAGAACTGTCACAGATCAGGGCAGAGGAGACCAATGAGCTGTGACAACTTGAGGTACCATTGAACCCTGGCTGGATTCCAGAATGAAAAATAATATTGGTGAGGGAAATTAGTGAACTCCGCATGCAGGCCTGGAATTTAGCTAATAGTGATTTTGGTAAAGGTGCCAGGATGATATAAGAGGATAACTTTAGGGGAAATTGAAACCGGAATTCTCTACTACCTTTGCAACTTTTCTATAAATCTAAAATTACTCTAAACTAAAAAGTTTATTGAAAAAGATTAAAACAAACTTTGAGAAGAGAAATATTTAGCCCTAAAGAATGAGTGGTAGAGTTTCAGGCATCTGGTTGCTTCCAGAGCTTTCAGGGCCTGAAATGTAAAGGATTTCTTCCACTCACACCAAAAGCTGATCTGGTTTGCCAAAACTCATCACAGAATGACATTTTAGAGAGCAAAACCAAGAAAGAATGATATAAGAAAATGAGGCCACAAATGACAAAGCTATGGCCATAATTTATATCTATTTTCCTTTCATAAAATGTGCAACACAATAGACTATGTATACGATAACTAATCAGACAACACTGAAAAATTTATGGACTTGCTAAAAATATTGGGTTCTATTTTTAATCATAATCAATTTGCTGACCTATAGTCACAAGAGCTTATATTAGTTCTCTTTTCTACTAAGTTAATTACTCTCTACTCAAAAGACTAAAACACTGCACGGAGAGAAATGTGAAGGAAGTTTGTAATTGATCGCCTTTACAATAGTTTTCCTCGCTCAACCCATTTAAAAAAAATCTCTCCCTGCAGAGGATTCAGTCTAGTTCATCAAACTGTTAAGGACCTTAGATTTTCATTACAGGGTGGGAACATTCGTGAATAACTGATCAGTAGCCCTCCAATCAGACATGTATGTAAAGGCTTTAGAGTTGACCCAGTACAAATTCTTCTTTAACAAATGGGGAAATGAGGCTCCAGCAAGAAATATGACTAGGTCAAATTGCTCTGAGTTCCCTGTTCATCTATGCTCTTAACACCAGGCCACACTATGAACTGAGGTTTTGATCAGACTTTTTCCCGAATGCTTCAACTCACCTTATCAGCAATCTCCTGGATTTCAGGAGTAGCAGGTCTGGCCTCGCTCAAGCCTCCAGGAATCATTGTGGCTCGATACTTCTTTGCAGAGGCAGGATGCTGGAACTAAAGTATTACCCAAGTGTGGAGGCTCAGGTTTTAAAAAGATGTCTAGCTCCGCCCATGGAACCGTCTATTTCTCACCAAGAGTGAAGAGGTGTGGGGAAAATGAGTATGCCCCAAGGGAAATTCTTTTGTTTCCTCTAGAGAATATGCTGAGTGGAATTGGGAAGGAAAGATGAGGCTGAGGGTAAGGTAATGAGAGTGTGCAGGAGTCGTGCTGTGACAGGCTCCCAAGGTCGGTCCCTGTCATCTGTGACAATGGTTCCATCCGGTTGCGATGTCTGAAATATGACCAGTGAAACCACAGTTGCCAAATGTTATGAAACCTCCAACACAGCATTTTGTATTTTTTTTTAAAAAAGAATAAAAATTAATAATATCGAGGATGATTGTTTAGAACTTGACTTTTAAAATTTTTATTTTTACTGGTACACATTTGCAGTACATAATGATTGCATTCATACTGGGGAGTTGGTACATGTATACAATACATCTTAATTCTTTTTACTTCCCCTTATTCTCCTTTATAAATCAATAAAAGGATCTCTCTAGAGGATTTTTGCTGGATATGTACACTTCACTTTTATTTAAAATGTTTAGAATATGGGAAAACAAAGAAACAATGAACATCTGTATTTTTATCACTCAGAACAAAAGATTTTAACATTTTGTCTTATTTGCTTCATGTATTTTTTGTAGTTTTAAAAGAAAATATTATAGGTATGGAGGAAGCCCCACCCCTCCCAACTATGCCCTTACACAGAGGTAACTCAGTGAGTTTGGTATCCTTTTAGAGTGACTCATTGGTTATTCAGAAGTGTGTTGTTCAATTTCCACGTGTTTATGAAAGTTTTTGAGTTTCTTTTGCTATGGATCTTCCATTTCATCACACTATGGTCTGATAATATACAGGGGATAACTTCAATTCCTTTGCACTTACTTAAACATGTTCTATGTGTGAGTATGTGG